AGACTGTAAGTAATTTTACACAGTATATCCATGTACATTTACTGAAACTACACTACAATATGTCATATAAGAATACATATGGAAATTTCTATTTAAACTATCATGTACTGATCCAAAACATTTTTGATTTTAAGACATTTGGATTAGAGTTTTAGGAATGATAATGTATAGAACAATGGTAGAAAAGGATTTCAAGCTTACAGATTATCAAGAAAAAATTCATTCTTCAGTTTATGGGCATCTAGGTTGTTTCCTGTTTTGGCTATGAATGACACTGCTATGAACATGGTTGAGAAAGTGTCTTTGTGATATATATATATATATATATATATATATATATATATATATATCTCCTTCGGATATATGCCCAAGAATGGTATGGCTGGAATTGGAGGCAAATTGATTCCCAACTTTCTGAGAAACCTCCATATTGATTTACAACTTGGCTACACAAGTTTGCACACCCACCATCAGTGGAGGAGTGTGACCCTAGCTCTACATCTTCTTCAGCAGAAGCTGTTATTAGTTTTCTTTTTATCTTAGCCATTGTGACTGGTGTAATATAAAATCTCAGAGTGGTTTTGGTTTGCATTTTGCTGATGACTAAGGATTTAAGGGTCTCAGACACTTGAGAGTCTTCTGTTGAGAATCTCTGTTTAGCTCTGTTATCATCATCATCTATGTCCCAGCAATGCTTAAACATGCATAGGCAGATGGTTCATGGCAATTCTCCAGGAAAGTTGTTCCTTTCCTGGGCAGTCCTAGCTGCTTGTGTTATTGTTATATTCAAGGGTCCACAGTCTACCTTTATGCTTGCCTAGCTATCATTTTTTGGGCCTTCCTAGTTGCCGTACCCCATGTACTCCTCCAAACAGTGCTATCCTCGGGTGTCTGCTGTCATTTATTCTCATAACATGGCCGAAGTATCTCAAGCGCTGTTGCCTTATCCTGTAGTTTACTTCCTTCTGTAGAGAGAGATGTCCCTTAATGTCATCATGCCACAGCCTATCTTCTCATGTGATGCCTAGAATCCTCCTGAAACATGCCACCTCGAACACATTCAGCCGCTGTTCTGAGGAGCATTTCATTGTCCAGGTTTCAGAGTCATCAAGAAGGCAGCTCAAACAAGTGTCCCATACACTTGTAATTTTGTTATTGCCATTTTGTCTCTTGCTGATCTAACCTTTCCTGCCTGGAATGCAGCCATCCTTATCCGTATCTGCCTTTTGACATCTGAAATAGTTCCCTCCTTCGAACTGAGGTTTCCTCCCAGATAGACAAGTTGACTGTTTGCTTGAGGTTCTGATTCTTTATTACAATGGAAAAATCCTTGAGCGCCTTTCCTCTATGTCCTATCTCAGTATTCTCAATGTTTACTTTCATACCAAGGTTTTCTCTGACTTCCATCACTCTATTTACCTGCAGCACATATGGACTTCCAGGAAGCGGTAAAATGCAAGTTATTGATTTTCACACCACCTATCTGCATGCCAATCTCCTCATCCTCGAGAGCTGTTGTTATTGTTAATTCCAGAAATATATTAAAGAGTAGTGGTGAGAGGACGCATCCCTGCAGCACTCCTTAAACTGATCACTTAGTCCTCCACAGACTTTGACTAATGCAAAGGTATCTTTATAGGTGTTTTTTAGTATTCTTATGATTTCCTCTGCGTAACTGTAGAACCTCATTGTTTCCCAAAGTCCTTTACTTCAAATGCTATCTAATGCCTTCCTGAAATTGATGTAACAGACATATAAATCTTTTCCACATTCCTCATATTTTTCTGCCAGTTGCCTCAAAATGAAGATCTGATCAATTGTGCTCCTGTTAACTCTGAATCCACATTGGGCCTCTTCTAATATTTCCTCTCTTCTGCTCTTGATCCTTTGATATCCTAAGATAATGGAGGAGAATATCTTGTTGCTATGGCACAACAAACTAATTCTCCTATAATTTGAGCAGTCCAGGCTGTCCTTCTTCTTGTGTATGGAAATTGTGACAGAGTGGTACGGAAGGTCCTTCTGTCTATGTGTTGCTTTTATTGGTTAATGAATAAAGAAACTGCCTTGGCCTGTTGATAGGTCAGAACTTTGGTAGGCAGGGAAAACTGGACTGAATGCTGGGAGAAGGAAGGCAGAAAGAGAGACACCATCAAGCTGCCAGAGACAGATGTGCTGAAACTTTGCTGGTAGACAGTGACCTCATGGTGATATACAGATTACAAGAAATGGGCTAAATTAAGATGTAAGAGTAAGCCAACAAGAAGTTAGAGCTAATGGGTCAAGCAGTGATTATTTAATACAGTTTCTGTGTGATTATTTTGGGTCTAAGCTAGTCGGTAGGCCTAGAATGAACAACCTCCCTCTTCCCAACAACTGAGTGCTTCCATTTTGTGTTAATCACTTCATGTTCCCATATCTCCCTGAAGAGTCTGAGAAGTGCCTCAGCCCGGAACTTATCGTAGCTGCCTCCAGCTCCTTCACTATGATGTCATCCACTCCTGGGGCCCTTCTACCTGTAGTTCTCTTGGTAGCTTCCTGTATCTTGTTCCTGTCAATATTTACATTTCCTCATTGTCTCTGGTGTTTGAGTGTCTGCCTAAGTGTTTTTTGTTATAGTCTACATTGACAGCATTAGGGTCACTGTATAGGGTGTCAAAGTATTGTCTTTGTCTTTGTTTTGCTTTCCCTGATTTTGTTATTAAATGATCTTTCCTATCTTTAATGACCTGAATCTGAGGAGCATATCTGACAGTTATCTGTCTGATAGCTTCAGAGACAAGATGTGTTTTATTATGGAGTCTAGCCTCTTTGACCTCTTTGCATATACCTTGTATACACATCTCTCTATCCTTTTTCGCTCTTCTTTTGACCTCCCTGCACAGATAGTTGTGGTGTTTTGCTGTCTGTGGATTGCCTATTTGTTTGCTCTTTAGCTTCCTTCTTTCTCCCGCCAAGTTGATCGTCTCTGCACTAAGCCCTTGTACAGGTATTGCCCTTTTTGCATAACCAAGCATCTCCTTTGAATCTTTCCATATAGCTCTTTTGACTTTTTCCCATTCACTTTCTATATTTGCAAAAGGTTGTTTGATGGTTTCCGTCATCTTCTTTTCAGTGGTTCTCTTATACTCTTTCCGTACAGCTAGGTTCATGTTTTGTTTACAATTGATCTTTCGATTCATTATGCCTAGCATGCATCTCCTAAGTTGCAGTTGAATGTTGTCCATAACAAGTTGGTGATCTACCCTAATTCATCAATAAGAAATGGTCAACTGTTTTGGATACTAGATAAGAGTTCCTGCTGTTCAGAATATAGTCAGTTTGGCTGTATGTATGTTTGTCAGGGCATTCCCCACTTCCAGCATCTTGATGGTTTGGCCTACTTGAATTTTGTCTTGGCTATGTACAAATCATTTGCATAGCAGAGATCAAGCAATCATTCTCCTCTGTCATTCCTTTGTCCAAGTCCGTTTGTTCCCATGATGTTATAGTCCATTCTTTCTCCAGATCTCACTCTTGCATTGAAGTCACCTGTAAGGATTAGTATGTCATTCTTATGTACTCTGATGACCTTGTTTTGTAAATCTGTGTATAAACTGTTGATGGCATCCCCTTTGGCTTCCACTGTTGGTGCATAAACCTTGATGTGTTATTGTCTAAAATCTGGCTGATATAATTCGGTCATTTACAGGTTTGTACCTGAGCATACATTTTTGGGCCAACTGGATAGCACTAAAGCTTCATTTTTTTGTATATTTTCCCTCTCCACTTGAGTCTATAATCTTGTTTATGTTTGCTTCAAGTTTTTGTGTTCCTGTGCAATGCGTTTCTGACAATCCAATGACATCCCAGCTGAAGTGATTGAGCTCATTCATGAGCAACCTGGTTCCCCTGATGCCATTGGTTTAGCTCTGTACCCCTTTTAAATTAGATTATTTGGGTTTTTGATGTCTAATTTCTTGAGTTTTTTATATATTTTGGAGATCTGTCTATAATACAATTAATTAAAACCCAGAGACAGATATTGTCTTTAGGTTCAACCTGAAGGTCAGAAAAGCAAAACAGCCAGGCACCGCCTATTATCTCTAACTCAGTCTGAAATGGTGATCCTGTCTCCAGGAATCTTCAGAATGAGACTGTGAATGAGAGCTGTCTCCTCCTGTTTTATATTCCTCTCTATTGTTGGAATTAAAGAAGTGCACCACTACCACCCTGTTGCTATGGCAAACTAGTGTGACTACTGGGATAAAGGTGTATGTCACCTTACACTGTAAGGCCAGTCAGGGTGGCTGTTTTTGTCTCTATTCTTCAGGCAAGTTTTATTTATTAAAATACAAATGAAATATCACTACATCAGTCTTCTGTCAGATGTGGAGTTGGTGAAGATCTTTTCCCATTCTGTGGGCTGCCATTTAGTCCTATTGATGGTGTCCTTTGCCTTATAGAAGCTTTTCAATTTCAAGAGGTCCCATTTGTTAATTGCTGATCTGAGTGCTTGCTACTGGTATTCTGTTCAGGAAGGTGTGTCTTGTAACAATGAGTTAAAGGCTCTTTCCCACTTTCTTTTCTAATAGGTTCAGTGTGAGGAACCTAGTCCTACCTCAACTTGATACCCCATGCTTTGTTGACATGCAGGGGGGCCTGCCCCTTACTGAACAGAACTAGAGAAATGAATTGGGGAAACAGGGTGAAAGTGGGGGGAGGGAAGGGAGGAAGAGAGGGGGGAAAAATTGCACTCAAGATAGAAAATAAATTAAAAAATTTAATATAAAAGAAAGAAATCCTTTATTGTGTTTTCAAAGTCATTTAAATGTTTATTTTCTTTCTCCCCACTGTACCAATCTAGTCCTCTCACCATTCCAATGACCAAGGGGACAGGAAGACATAAGGCTTTAAACCAATTCAGACACTTCTCTTTTTGCCTGACAATATAATCTTATATTAGCATTTTCTTATCTGACCCACACAGTGTTTTCATGGATTTTATTGTTTCTTCGTAGGGTCAAGGCAATTATGATGTGACTCGCTATGAAAATATTTTCTCCTTGTTCTGGATTCTGGAGCAGCTTTTTCAACAGGAAACCCAGGGAGACCCCACTTTACACATTGATCACAGCAGCCCCGAAATCCAAGAGTTTCTTCAGAAGCATGACGAGACCATCTTCCAGCTTTCAGATGCATTCCCTTTACTTACTTTTTATTTATGGAGACTAGGCATCCTCTTGACCTCAGCAGAGATGGAGACAGGTGAGGAGACATTTTCTTAGCCGTCTACCATGTATCAGAAAACAGTGGGCTTAAGCTTTGCAAAGATATTTTTTAAATGAATAATTCAAATTGATTGACCAACCTTAACCATTAACTCAATTTAGTGATTAGCCTTCTGTATAGACGACGATGAATCGCTGTTCTGTATCACAATCAGGCAATTTCAGTTGACAATGCCCCGTATGTTCATGTATTGTATCTTACTTCACTCAATAGTCTAGCAACATTCTCTATAATGAGCCAACCGTTGTCTGTCGCATAATATATAGTAAACTGTGAAAGATTTCCATCTGATAGAAATGTAAAAATTGTAATCAAATACAGATTAAACTTTTGTCATTTAACATACTTTAATACAAGGTTTAAGTCAATGGTAAAAAATAGAAATTATTATGGAGTTGTAGTCATGTCATTTTCCTCTTGAAGGATAGTTCTATAGAAGGAAAAGGGGCTTTGGAAACCAATGGTTTTTAATTTTACATAATCAACATATTTGTTAAGTACTTTTGAAGTGTTAATTAGTTCTTTAAAATGTCTGTTTTTAAAACAAATTTTCTGTTGATTAAAAACATTATTGCCCCTATGATTGTTAAAATGTAGTAAAGTTGCATATTGTTAAGTCATTAGGGATGCTTTTATAAATTTTAATATCCTCTAAGAAATACACTTTATACTTATTACAAGTACTGGGTTGAATTTTTCCATTACCCAAATTTCTTTACTTAATTTTAGTTATTAAAATTATACCAGACAAGCTTAATGAGTGCACATTTTGTACTTTCCGATTTAGTGCAATTTAAAGAAAATATAATGTAATTTTCTTTCCTTTGTTAATTGTGTATGATTCTGTTTTATAAGTTAATTATCATTTCCAGATGCCATTAGCACTAAAAAATAAACTTTGCTATTTTCTTCTATAATGTATATAAAATTATATCATCTTCCATAATTATTTTTGGAATTATTTACCAGGAAATGTGTTATGAAAAATCTCTCCTAGAAATGACTGCATAAACAAGACCAGAAAATGGCCAAATCAATGGACATATGGACATGGAAGGGGGACAGCTTCCTGGGGATCACCCCTAGATAAGACCTCAATGCATGACTGCTGGGAGAGGGAGAATTAGCCGACCCCAGCGATAAGCACTCTTATCTGTTATCCAGTGCAGAGTGGTCACCCCTGAAACAACACACACACACATATAAACACACATACACACACGAAGAACAGACTCAGCTTGTTATAGTTATATGGTTGTGGATACTTATAATGTATCTAGAAATGTATGTAATATTAATAAAGAAAATGAGGGGGAACACGGAAGGAGTTGATGGAAAGGTATCTCAGAGAATTGTGGGAGAAGAAGGAGTGGGGAGTGATTTGAGTATATTTTAATTTTAAAAATATATACTTTAATTAATGATATTAAAGAAACTCTTCTTTCTTAGATTTTATGTGGTGGTGACACTGCCTTTCTGTCCCAGACATTCAGGCAGGATACTGAGCAGGTCATGGGATGACTGTGGATGGTCATGTTTTCTAGAGGAACTCCAGAGCCAGGCCGCTAGAGGACTGAACACTTACTATCCCCTTTAAATGTGGTCTATTATCAAGAGGAGTGGGTTATACTGGTTGGGTATTTTATTTTGCTACTTGATAAAGTCTAAACAGAACAGAAGACACTGGTCTTGGAAACTGACACTCTACTAAGTGTAGTTGAGGTACTTAAATATTTCTAATTTTTTAGAATCAATGAAGTCTAGTTGACATTTCCAATTGATGATATATACTTAAGTGGCATAGATACAAATAGTACTCCAGCATCTGATTGTCTTGTATGTCGCTATGACTAACATTTCCTGAGAATAAAAGATATTAACTCCTCAAACATGAAAAGATCAAGATCAGATATCCACATAGAGGTTACCATTAGCTCCTAAAACTTAGACATGAAAATAAATAATACATTTGAGCATAGCTTATACTGGCTTCAAAATCAAACTATTTTTTCAGTCAGAAGAATAATATCTCTATTCCATGTCAAGAATCAATAGTGTGATCCTATTTTCCAAGTACAATGCATGGCTATATATGTGAATGTGTGTATATGTAAGTATCCTTCCATGTACGTGCATGGATGTAGATGCCCAAGGTCAATGAGTGTCCCTCCTCAGGAGTTCTTTAGGTGTTTCTGGTTCTGTTTTGTCTCTTTGTGTAGTTTGAGACAGGGTCTCTTGCAGGCTAGATGAGCTGGTCATCAAGCCCAAGGGACCTTCTATCTCTGCCATGTTTGCATTACACCATGACTTTTTTTATGCAAGACTTGAATTTACATGGTCATGATTGTGAGGCAAATGTTTTACCAATTGACCTGTCTCCTCGATCCCGTGTCTGTTATTTTTAAACCACTCTTTGGAGTAAGAAAATGTTTTCATGGCTGCCTCTTAGAGAAAAGGATGGGCAGAACTAATTAATTTAAAATGTATCAGGGATAGGCCGGGCAGTGGTGGCGCACGGCTTTAATCCCAGCACCCGGGAGGCAGAGGCAGGCGGATCTCTGTGAGTTTGAGGCCAGCCTGGTCTACAAGAGCTAGTTCCAGGACAGGAACCAAAAGCTAAGGAGAAACCCTGTATCGAAAATTCAAAAAAAAAAAAAAAAAGAAAAGAAAAGAAAAAAAAGAAAGAAAAGAAAAAGAAAAAAATATATCAATGATGTGTTTCCCAAAGTAGCTTTATTTAGGCAGCTGTTGTTCACACCTTTTCCTGAGATCTGGAAATGCATGTAAGGCCTTTACTTGACCTCTGCTTGTCAAATGGCACTACATATATTTTTTTTGAAATAGCCCTTTCTTGACATATTGAAACAACAGTGGAGTTCAAATAGGAACACATTGTAGATGGCATAAATAGGAGGTGAAGGAAGGCAAGAGAAGACAGGAGCATCACTAAGTCTTCTTATAACGTAGGAAAAGTGATACTGTGATATTTCTCTGAATGGCATCTGTCTTCAGGTTTAAAGTGTAAAGAACAAGCAGTATCTATTACTATTAGGAAAATGTGTGTGCTTTTTTTTTCTGAAGGCATGCCTAAATGATTAGGCCAAGATGTAAATTTAATTACTCATTATTATTAAATACCAGATGGCATTGGAACTTCTGTGTCTTTCCTGGCTTGATGGGAGCCTTTCAGTGGAGGAACATACTTGAAATTAAAAATGAAGATATCACCCTGTCTCTATCATAGAAATAAAACTCCCACTTCATCATTAATATATTTTTCTTTTATTTTTATTCTTCTCATACACTGCATCCTGACTGCAGTTTCAGCTCCCTTCCCCCCCCAAGTCTCTCCTCCCCCCTCTTTTTTTTATTGAGAAAAGGAAAAAAAAAGTTTCCCCCTCCTCCCAGCCTCCCATTTCCCTCCCCCTCCTCCCACCCTTCTCCCCCTCCCCCCACTCCTCTTCCCCTCCCTCTCCAGTCCAAAGAGCAGTCAGGGTTCCCTGCCCTGTGGAAAGTCCAAGGTCCTCCCCCCTCTGTCCATGTCTAGGAAGGTGAACATCCAAACTGGCTAGGCTCCCACAAAGCCAGAACATGAAGTAGGATCAAAACCCCGTGCCATTGTCCTTGGCTTCTCATCAGCCCTCATTGTTCGCCATGTTCAGAGAGTCCGGTTTTATCCCATGCTTTTTCAGTCACAGTCCAGCTGGCCTTGGTGAGCTCCCAATAGATCAGCCCCACCGTCTCAGTGGGTGGGTGCACCCCTCGTGGTCCTGACTTCCTTGCTTAGCTCCCAAGGTCCCAATGAGGAGCGGAAGGAGGGAGACGATGAGCAAGGAAGTCCTCCCCCCTCTTTCCTTAAAATCCACCTCCTCCTCCATCTCCCATTAGAAGAGAGTCGGGCCTCCCAGGAATAGCAACCAAACGTGGCATAACAAGCCTCAATAAGACCACATGCATACCATTCCAACAGGGCTGGATGAGGCAAGCAGTAGGGGGAAAGGTGATACAGGTCAGAAGTCCAGCTCCCAAGGCTGCACTCAGGGTTGCCAAAAGAATGCCTCCAAGAAGCAAAGACATAGGGAAAATTTCTTATCTACCTAAACAAAAAGACTCAGATATGTGATCTGAGGGTCAAGTTCTTTCTATTTCTTGTTCTCTTTTTCCTGTTTCAATTTTCCAGTTCTAAATCTTTAGCCCTAATTCTCATTCCTAATTTCTTCTTCATTCTCTGTTCACATGACTTATATACACATTTAACCACAAACGTTAGGAAGTAAAAAAAAAAAAAAATGCAAACCTGTATCTCAGGGTCCCAGTGCATTCCTTGAATTAATGATAAGGAGCCATTTGCTATGGCAACACACAGGCAGAGTGAAGAATGCTGGGTGTTTTTGTCATTCTTTTACAAGGTCTGTCCCAAACCTTAGGATACATTTTCTTATCCTGCTTGCAGCCCCAGAGTACAAGGAGGGAAACTTGCAAATTTATTAAGGCTATGAGGTCAGACCGTCTTCTGTGGCCCTGGCTTTTTGTGAAAATTTTCCCATATAAAGCTGTTGCTCTTGGAATTGGTTAATTGGTTGATTGCTATTCTTGTTATCCATATAAATTTTAGGACTTAAAAATGAACAATTAATTAGCTGAGCCTTGAATTTTGTATTACAAACTGAGCTTAGAAGTTTCTGCAGAGTGTTAATTGCTAAGGAATTTAGTAGGGGATGGCTGTTGGTCTCTATTATGAGCCAGGCCTGGCTAGAGAAACTGGCAAGAAATGCTTGTCCCTCTGTGTCTAAGAGACCTTGATTTAACAAACCAGACATCTGCAATTCTGTCCTTCTATATAGTCTGTGAAAAGTCTAACTTGCGATCCATACTCTTATTCTAGCTAATTTGTCCTGTCGTCTTAGTTAATTATAGAGAACAAGTTTACAAGTTTCTCACTGTTTGCTGGAACAAAGAGTGAACTATGAGGGCTTGTTTATTCATCACAATTACACAGTGTGGGGAAAGTCATCCTTTTGTCAGTAAAGGAATAACAGTGCCCCAAAAGCAAGGAAAACACTGCCAAGGTCGTGGGACAAATTCCATGGCTATTTTAGGGCTGGTGGGGAGACCAGGGTATCACACAAGAAAATTACAGGCAGAAACAGACAATATTTATAGGCAATGGACCCATAAACCATAAATTGTTCCTCTGGTGGGTCAACTTTATAAATATCAGCTGTCATCTACTGTGTATTCTTGCAGATCCCTGCAGAAAAGGGTCCCAGAAACTGGCAAAAGAGTCACAGATACCCTATTCCCACTGGTAGGAATCCCACAAGAACACCAAGCGATTCATTTATAACACAAATGCAAAGGACCTGGGTCAGATCCCACAGACTCCTTGATGTCTACAAGTTCCCATGAGTTGTGGTCAATTGATTTTGTGGACTGTGTTCTCTTGGTGTCCCTGACCCCTCCAGTTCCTTGAGTAGTTCCACTTTCTCCCTTGCGTGGCTCCCCAAATTCTGCAAATGTTTGACTGTGGTATTCTGCATCTGCTCCCATCAGTTGCTGAATGAAGTCTCTCTGATCTCTTTGATGAGAATTCTGCTAGACTCCAGTTCCAGAACACCATGAAGGCAGGACATACTGCAAATTGAAAGTTTTGTATCTGGGTTGTTGTCCCAGTCCCTACACTTGAGTCCTTGCCTAGTTACAGATGATGGCCAGTTAAATCTCCATGTCACCCCTTACTAGGAGTCTTTGCTAGTGTCACTCTCATAAAAAAAAGTTATAAGAATTATATCTCATTGGTCACAGTACATACCTTGGGTAAATGATAAGGAACCAAGTCATTTACCATGACAACACATAACTGAAGACATGGTTTTTGGCACCTACCTGAGTAGTGAATTGAAAATGTCTCAACCATAAAAGTATATTCTCTCTAGGGCTGGGTTTAAAGGTGTGCACCACTGGAATTAAAGGCATGCACTACCCGGTTTCTTTGGCAACTAGTATGCTACTGGGATTAAAGGTATGTGTTACCATAACCTGGTCTGTAAGGCTGACCAATGGGAATGTTTTACTCTTAGATCTTCAGGTAGTCTTTATTTACTAAAGTACAATTGGAATGCCACTCCATACTGTATCAGTCATACCAATTCATGAGCATGGGGGATCTAGTGGTATTCTATCCTTTTCAATTTCACCTTAAAGACTTGAAGTTTTTATCATGCAGGATATTCATGTGCTTGGTTAGAGTTAACCCAAAATATATTATTGTGGCTCTTGTTAAGGGTGTTGTTTTCTGGATTTTAGTGCTATGGATTTTTGTGAGTTAATCTTATATCCCACAAAATTGATAAAAGTGTTTATTAGTTGTAAGAATTCCCTAGTAGAATTTTTGGGATGGTTCAGGTATACATCATATCATTTGCAAATGGCATTCCTTTGAGTTCTTCCTTTCTAGTCTGTATCCCCTTTATTTCCTTTACTTGTCTTGCTGCTATAGCTAGAACTTTAAGTATTATGTTGAACAGATAGAGAACAGACAATCTTGTCTTGTTCCCAAATTTAGTGGAATTGTTTTTGAGTTTCTCCCCCATTTAATTTGATGTTTGGTATAGGCTTGCTGTAAATTGCCTTTATTATATTTAGGTCTGCTACTTATATCTCCAATCTCTCCAAGACTTTTATCAGGAAAGTGTGTTGGATTTTGTCCAAGGATTTTCAGAATCTAATGAGATGTTCATCTGTTTTTCTTTCTTTCAGGTTTTTTATATGGTAGATTGCATTGACAAATTTTTGAACCATCCTTGTGTCTATGGGAAGAAGCCTGCTTGATCATTCTGAATGATCTTTTTGATGTGGTCTTAGATTTAATTTATCAGTATTTTTTAAAAGTATTTTTTGTATCAAAGTTTGTGAAGGAAATTGGTCTGTAATTCTATTTCTTTGTTGAATCTTTATATAGTTTAGGTAGCAGGGTTACTGTGGCCTTGTAAAATTAATTTGGCAATATTTCTTAATTAATTAATTATTTAATTAATTAATATAATTAAATTAATTAATTGATAATATAATTACTTAATTAATATTTTCAAAAGTAAAATCTCACCATAGGTTTTTTTCATGTGAAGTGACATGCATAAATTACATTGTGAATTCTGAAGTGAAAATGTCACCAAGAGGATCAAGCCTTTATATAATGTTTGTTAGAGATCAGAGTATATTCCAAACATCTACCTGTATGCTTCATTCAATCTTCCTGCAATCCTAGTCAATATTATGAGATCATTTGGCCATACGTTAACTAAGTAGTAAGGAAGTTAAGTGGCCTGCCTGTCGTCAAAGCAGCGAGGCTATGACTTTTTTCTTTTGGTATTTTAAGAACGAGTTTCTCTATGTAACTGTCCTGGCTGTCCTAGAACTCACTTTGTTCACCAAGCTGAACTCGAGCTCAAAGAGATCTTCCTGCTTCTGCCTCCCTAGTTCCGGGAATAAAGGTGTGCACCACCCTGCTAAGATATCTTTTGTATTTTATTTATTCATATTTTTTATTCATGCGTTCTGCACACAAAATAGACTAGCTAAACCATACCAATATCCAGTTCCTACTTTATTTTAAATTCTCTTTAATGCGGACTCTAATGAATATGATAATTAATAAGTTAACTTCTAATTAGCAGCCCTTTTCAGATTTCATAATTTGCAATGTGCTTGATTTTCATTGATCTTGCTGCGCAGGTGAACCACTCTTTATAACTCTAGAGTCAATGAGCTCTGAAGGGAGTGATATGGCCAGCAAACCCCTTTTCTAGTAACAGACAAGGTGCAGTATAATGGATTCCAAGTATCCTCACACCATGGAGATGACTTCTATACACAGTTCCCATGTCCTTCCTTGACTTGTCATTGCCATTCTGCATCCCTGTTGGACCTGAATTGTGGCCTCATTTTTCCTTATAAAAAACCCTAGTTAGGTAGTGTTTTACACCTATTAACTTCAAGGTCATAAGCAATCTGTCTTTCTGTCAACAGGCATCAGATGAAGTACTACTTATCCTTTGGTCTCATGTGGAGCATGTGAGCATATTTAAGGTAGAAATGAACCATTGGCTCCATTAATCAATCAGTCAGACAATCCTATTTGTATCTGTGAAAAATTTCAGAAGATTGACTATAAGAATTTATTAGCACTAGTTTGTTTATACATGACAAACATTCAAAAACTATTAATGAGTGAGCTATAATAACATGTTAGTTGATAGCCTGGCCTGTTTCTACCTTTAAAATAATGTAAGTTGGCTCTGAATTGGCCCTTAACATTTTAACACTCAAAATGAGTCCACGAAAGCTTGGAAGCAGGAATTTCTGGTACATAGTAAATGATCAATGACTGCAGATAATATCACTTTGTTGACTTTAAAGCACATTCCTGATTTCCTCACCCTCATGTGGAAACTGAAAACACTGTAGTTGTTGCTGGAGTGGTAATATGTCCCATCATCCATGGGATGGAACTATTAAGCTTTGAGGGAGCTGTACACAGAGGAGTAGGTGAATACACACCTGAAGAAGCTGCTGCCACTTCTGACCTTTACGTCATAAGGTGGATGAATTAAGACAGAAGTGCAAACTTGGATGCCTGGCTGCTGTGTTTTCTCGTGCAGCTGTCTTCTCTCTAGATGCTGGTTTTCTAGATGCTGAGCTGAAATTTGAAAAGTGTTTTTTGTTGAGAAAAATGCTACAAATTGTGGATACTTGCAAATAAAGCATCCAGAAAAATCACATCAGATTCACTATGAATTAAGCTGAGGTTTTGTTCACAGGAAAAACATCATTCCATATATAAAATGCATTTTTAGTTAAAACATTCTAATTTATACTCTCTTTACAAATGGTCATTTTTTTCTCAACAGACTGTTGTTGGGAACTCCGAATCCTTTCCATCTTCACTTGTTCTATTTTTAATAATGTCACTGAAGAACAGTCCTACACCAAGAGTTACATAAAGATCAGTGACAGGAGTGTCCTATTTATTTCCCTTCCTTTAGTATCTGAAAGGAAGCATCATTTTCCAAAGACAGGACATAGTTTCGGGCATTATTCAGACAAAGAAGGAATGGACAAGGATTTCCACGCTTTATCTATGTGATTTTCCCTGACTGCTGAGCCATAACAGTTTACTTATATATATTCTTTCCTATAAGACACAGTTGAGTGTAAAAGCCTCAAGCAGCCAGTATTGCACAATAGCAGGGCAGCACCATACTGACTGCTCCATCATGTTAGAGTTGGAGCTACAGAAAACCACACCTCTATTTATTGCCAACTCAAGAAAATGAAGAAATGAATTTCCAAAACAAGAAAATCATTAGCGTACAAATATAAGGGGAATAAAATAAAGACACAACCTAATTTTGCTTTACTTTTTATAGTCTCTGTATGCAGAGACTTCTTCACATTTTGCTCCATTTAAAAGACAGATAACCCCCCTCCCCCCCCCCCCGCCGCGCCTGTGGATAATTCTACCATACAGAAAGTATTTCATTGCAAGGGATTATATTTAAAGTGGGGCAAAGAAACTATCACAGTAAATTTGATCAATTATGGCAGAATGATGCCAGAATGTTTTAATAGTTTGAAAGACTATCATCAAGCCAAGCTACCACTCAGAAGGAATATGGAAAATCCATTAGAATGTCAAAAAGCATACATCACAAAGTCAATATTTATAAGTGGAGTACACTGGTGAGCAGGTGATCTCATAAGAACTAGGCTTGATCCCTTCTGAAAATAAGATACAATGTAATTTGACTTTCATTTTTATAAATAAAATTTCTGGCATTCTAACAATTGTAAAAAAACATCAAGCCAGTAGGGAAAATGCAAAAGCATGGTGGATGTTGCACTGTAGAGAATACTGAAAAATCCAAACAGTTAAATGTTTCTAAGGGAAGAAGTAATATAGTTATGAATATGGAGATTTTTCCTTTAAAGTTGTTCTTTATAATGAACTAAACTTTTAAAACTATTTTCAGTCAAATGTGACTTTGATCCATATCCTTGGAACACAACATACCTGACAAACATTGGGCTATAGCTATGTCAGGGTGACATTTTATTTACAATTAAAATTATTTCCCAGTGAGTACAGGAAATGAGGAGCATCGTGACAAAATGATCTTGAAGCACAAGCATGACCATTTATAAGTGACCTTCATGTATTCATTACATATTTCTGGATATTTTCAAGACAAAATTAGATCATGCTGAGATGCCATTGGAGAATAAAATTTGTTCCTGTTTTTCCCTTTTTTATTCTAGTTCAGTTTTAAACTTTGATAAGCAAAACCTGCAAAATACTCATAGCAAAATAAGACTATCCTATACTACAGAAATTGTTTTTCTAATTCAGTTCTCAAGAGAAAGTCCAACATATGTGTGGAAGGGAAGGATTATTAATCCAAAATGAAACAAACTTTAATATTCAAAAACATCAGTGTTATCCAATACTTCAAATGGGAATGTTGGCACATGTTATACAATTTCCTTCTCTCCTCACTGTCCAGATGATGCTGACTTTGAGCTAGCAACGAAGGAACAGGAATAGACTAGCAATCATCAAACAGGTCATTAGATGTAAATCATGTCTATGATGATAAGAAACACCATTTTTAAAAAATGAAGAAAGAAAAAGGGAAAAATAAAATCATCTTAAACAAAGCACTAATGTGATCAGCAACTGGAATGTGTAGCATGTTCTGAAAAGCACAATTGCTTTTGTGCTTGTTTGCTTTTGGCTTTGTTTTGTTTGCAACATTCTAAAGTTAAATCTCATTTGATCATTTTGTTTATACAATTGATCACAATCTCTTTTCCATCTGAGACACTGGCAATTCACTTAAATATTTTATCAAGATTTCTATCAGTCCTGATACTGCAAGGTATCGGAAGATATCAGTAATATTTTAAACCTACCTAGACCCCCATATTGTGTGGGTGTGTGTGCGCACGTGCTCGCATGCACATGCTCTCACTATGTGTATTTGAAGGGATTCATGCATCTTGAGATGCTCCTGTGAGATTAATGATGACATTTCAGAATCCATTCTCTTTCTCCACCTTTTTATGGGCTCCAGGAATGGAATTGTGTGTTCCAGTGTTAGAGCACAGTCAGTCACCAGGCTTAAAAACCATGAGCTTTCACCAGCTTGCCTAATCCCCTAAAAAAGGGAGACTTTTTCTTGTAATGAATAATTGCCTTTTATTATTAAGTTTGTGTTAAAATGTAAAGAAATGAATTTAGTCACAGCACATCCATTACAGTGGATCCCTCTCCTTTCGCCACTTAGTTTCCCTTTCAGCTTCTATTCTCACCCCCTTCAGATCCTATGTGACACGGTCTAAAATGTCAACAATGACTGTCTCACACTAGAGAGTATATGCCTTTGGTGGTTACTCAGTATACAAGACTGGATATCTCAGCTGTCCCAAAATAGTACTATAAGCTTTGAGTGTTCCTGGTGAACTTCTGACCCTCAGTCAACATGAAAAGCCCAAAGAAGTTGGTTACAACACCTGTTTAGGAAGACTGCAGCAACAGGATAGATGAACTTGCCATAAAGAATAAAGACAAATGGGATAAAAAAGATAAAATCAGAAAGGCATCTTCCGTGGCCTTTCATCTGGGCTGCCATCAAAAGGTACCACCTATGTTAAAGCTGGATCTCCCTACTTCAAGTATATCATTGAAAAGGTGCCTCATTGGAGTGTGCAGTCACTCGAGTTTTAACTGATTGTAGATCAAACCAAGTAGAAAACTGTTATTGATCACCGTAATGAACTTAGATGGCATGATAGTGGCATGATAGTGGATCTAATTTGTATCAATTCATAAAATATATATAAAAATCATTTCTCTCCCTCACTTGTCATTTTTCTATTCAACTATCTACCA